CAAGATCATGACCTGAGCTGAAATCAAGAGTCGATGCGTAACAGACTGAACCATCCAGACGCCCCTCTAGCTTATCCTTATGCCTATCCAGTTGTTCTGCCCCTATCACTCAATTTACTCATTTATTAAGTAGTATATCTTTTCCTCACTGATTTAATTTTTTTAAGATTTTATTTATTTGAGAGAGAGAGAGCGTCAGAGAGAGAGTGAGAGAGCATGAAAGGGCTGGGGCGGCAGAGGGAAGGGGGAAGAAGCAACTCCCCTCTGAGCAGGAAGTCCAACACTGGGCTCTATCCCAGGACCGTGATCTCAGCCAAAGGCAGGCATTTAACGGACTAAGGCACCCAGGTGCCCCTCCCCACTGATTTTAAATGGCATTTTTGTTAAATGTTAAAATCCCAAATGCAGGGTTTATTTCTAGACTTTATTTCTAGTTTCACTGGTCCCTTTTTTCTTCCCATTTTTTAAAGTCTTGATAATATGTTGTATTATCTAGTATGCTTTTGATCTTATAATGTCTGATTTTAAGGAAAGTAAAGTATATATGCCTAGCTTATCTGAATGTGGCTATAAAAATCTTCAGTAAAATATAAGCAAACTGAACCAAGTAATATACAAGCAAGTAATACATCATGATCAAGCAGGGTATGTGTCAGGAATGCAAAGCTGGTTTAGTCTGCAAAATTCTACTAATATAATTCACAATCTTGTATCTAAAGGAGAAAACCAGGCAGCCCAGGTGGCTCAGCGGTTTAGCGCCACCTTTGGCCTGGGGCTTCGGCCTGGGGCGTGGACCCAGGATCAAGGCCCACGTCGGGCTCCCTGCAGAGAGCCTGCTTCTCCCTCTGCCTGTGTCTGTGCCTCTCTCTCTCTATGTCTCTCATGAATAAACAAATAAAATCTTTAAAAAAAAATAAAGGAGAAAACCACATCATCATCTCATGAGCTTCATACAAACTGTTAAGTAATATTCAATATTAATTTTTAGAAAACTCTTAGCAAACTACTTTAAAAGAGAACTTATATTAATAGTAGGTACCTCCCCAAACCTACAATAACCATTGCATTTCATGGTAAAACTTTTTTTTTTCATGGTAGAACTTCAGAAGCATTTCCTTCGCAGTGCCTACTAGCCTTCCTTCGGTATAGCACTGTGCTGGAGATCTTAAATCAGTCACAGTGTAACAAGAAAAAACATGTATGGATTGGGAAGGGGAAAAAAACTAGAATCATTCACAGATATGATTCTCTACATCGAAAATCTAAGAGGATCGATAGTGGAATTACCAGAGTTGCTTGAGTACAACAAAGTAACCAGAGGCAAACAATAGAGTTCCTGAATACTAGCAGTGAACAATGAGAAAATGTGACTTTTAATAAACGATTTAAAACAGCAACAGATGGGACTCCTGGGTATCCGGGTGTCCGGCTCAGTGGTTGAGCATCTGCCTTTGGCTCAGGTTGTGATCCCAGGGTCCCAGGATCAAGTCCTACATTGGGCTCCCTGTAGGCAGCCTGCTTCTCCTCCTGCCTATGTCTCTGCCTCTCTGTGTCTCTCATGAATAAATAAAATCTTTTTAAAAAAATAAATAAAACAGCAACAGAAACTACAAGAAACTTAGAATAAACCTGTTCAAAGATGTGTAAGACTTTACACAGAGATCACAGTTTATTGATGGACATAAAAGAAAACTCTACATAAATGGAAAAATACCCCATATTCACAGATTTGAAGAAGTACTACCATAAAGATGATATTGATTTAATTCCATAATAATAATATAAATTACATGAAATTTCAATCTGACAGAGGTTGTTCCTGGAACTTTACAAGGTTATTCTAAAATTCTTACGAGGATTAACTCACTCAGCAAGATACCGGAATTACTATAAAGCTTTGGTCCTAGCTTAGGGATTGACAAAAAGAGTAATGGAATTGTTATGGACTGAATGGGTATCCCCAAAATTCATAGGCTGAAATCCTAACCTCCAGAGTGACTATGCTTATAGATGGGGCCTCTAGAGTAATACTTAAGATTAAATGAAGTCAAAAGAGTAGGACCCTAATCCAACAGAAGTGTCCCTGTAAGAAAAGACAATAGAGAGCCCTCTCTCTCCCTCTTCCTCTCCCCTCTTTGTCTCCCCCTGCCTCCCCCCACAACCCCACCTTGCACACACTACAGAAAAGCCATATGGGGGCATAGCAAGAAGGCAGCCATCTGCAAACCAGAAATAGTCCTTATCAGAAACTGAATATAATGGCAGCTTGATCAGGGACTTCTAGCCCTCAGAACCGTGAGAAAAATAAATGTCTGTTGTCTAAGTCACCCAGCCTATGGAATTTTGCTGAGGTCACCTGAGAAAATGAACATAGGAATAAAAAGAGAACTCAGAAACAGACCTACATACATATGGCAACTTCGTATATGGCAAAGGTGGCATTATAAATCGGTTGAACAGAATATTGAATAAACCTGCTTGGGAATGTGTATGTGAGAGAGGGAGAAACTATGTATCAATTAAAATTAAAACTTTACAACAGAAGATATCATAAACAAAAATTTTAAAACCAATAGAAAAATGAGATCAGGGATATGATGGTACCTTTGTCTTCTTGTCTGACTGCTGACCCGTGGATTTCCCATACTATGTTGAATAGGAGTGGTGAGAGTGGACGCCCTTGTTTTGTGTCTGATCTTGGAGGAAAAGCTTTCAACCTTTCACCACTGAATATGATGTTAGCTATGGGCTTGTCATATATGGTCTTTATTATGTTGAGTTATGTTCCTTCTATGCCTAATTTGTTGGGAGTTTTTATGATGGATGGATGTTGGATTTTGTCAAACACTTTTTGTCTATTGAGATGATCATATGATTCTTTTCTCTCATTCTACTAATGTGACCTACCACACTGATTGATTTGCATAAGTGTAAAACATTCTTGCATCTCAAGGATAAAGCCTACTCGATCATGGTGGGTGATCCTTTTAATGTGCTGCTGAATTCAGCCTGCTGGCATTTTACCGAGGCTTTTGGCATTTCCAGCCATCAGGGATTGGCCTGAAGTTTTCTTTTCCAGTAGTGTCCTCTTTTGGCTTTGGTATCACGAAAATGCTGGCTTCATAAAATGAGTTTGGGAGTGGTCCCCTCCTCATTTTTTGGAAGAGCTTGGTCAGGGTTATGAGATTAAGCCCCAGGTAGGGTGCCGCACAGAGTCTGCTCGACATTCTCTCTCTCCCTGTGCCCCTTTCCTTCCCACCACTCATGCACATGTTCTCTCCAAATAAATAAAATCTTTAAAAGGGGGGGAGGGGTCAATGCTAGAAGAAATCTTTTATTTAAATTTAAATCTAAACATGCAAAACGCACAAAATAGTATATACTGTTTCTAAATATATAATATGGAAGAAAATACAAATACACTCTTGGGAAGAGTAACCATTAGCTCCCAATGTGTGTGGCTGCCTCTGAGCAAGGGGCATGAAAGGGCAGAGTAGGGACACTGTGGCTCTATGAAGTTTTACTTCTGGCTTTTTTTTTTTTTTTTTTTTTTAGAGATCTAAGTAAATATTGCAAGATGTTAAAATCTGTTTAATCTCAGTGGTTCATGGCTGCTAGAGGTGGAAGTAGGGATGGGATGTTTGCAATGTATTAAAATTCAAAAACCAGGGGCACCTGGGTGGCTCAGTTAGTTAAGCGTCTGCCTTCGGCTCAGGTCATGATCTCAGGGTTCTGGGATCGAGCCCCGCATTGGGCTCTGTGCTCAGTGGAGAGCCTGCTTCTTCTTCTCCTTCTGCCCCTCCCCCCTCTCATGCACACGCGCGCTCTCTCTCTTTCTCAAACAAAATCTTTTTTAAAATAATAAAATTGGGATCCCTGGGTGGCGCAGCGGTTTGGCGCCTGCCTTTGGCCCAGGGCGCGATCCTGGAGACCCGGGATCGAATCCTGCGTCGGGCTCCCGGTGCATGGAGCCTGCTTCTCCCTCTGCCTGTGTCTCTGCCTCTCTCTCTCTCTCTGTGACTATCGTAAATAAATAAATAAAAAACCTTTAAAAAAAATAAAATAAAATAATAAAATTTAAAAGCCTGAAAAAGAAAAGGCCCATGACAAGCAACCAGGGAAAGACAGTTAAGAGAAAAGAGCATCACGGCAACCAAGGGGAAGGGCGGGCCTCATCCAGGGCTGCCCAGCTGGCTGTTGCCCACAGGATTAAGAGGTCCACAAGCTCTCGACCACCATCACCCCAGGAGTGATAGGGGAGGAGGCTGGCTTACTGTGGTCATGCTTTGGCCAACTTTAAGCTTGGCTATGCTAGCGAGTGGCAGTGTGTGGTACTTGCGGGGAAAGCAGCCCTTCTGCTCAGTCTGGGAACATCTGGACCTGGTCAGGAAGGAAAGGGAAGCAAGTATGGGGCAAGGGTAAGATGGAGGCCAGAAGGGATGAGAAGGAAGGTTGATGATGGAGGAAGTGGTGCGGACTTGCAAAGAGGGGAGTGTCTAGGAAGTAAGGCAAGAGGGGTGGGGGCAGGGGTGGAGGAGGCTGCCAGGGTCGTAACCAGAGAGGCCAGAATCCAACAGAAGTTCCTGCAAGCAGCACAGCCCACCGGGGATCCAGAGGGAAGAGCTGGCCCCCTCCCCAGACTGATGATGGGGTTTGTACTCACCAATAATTTGAATCGTTGTGCATTCACTTAAATGAGTATTGGGGAGAAAAAAGAAATTAAAGTGTAACTAGCCACTAAATGTGTCCTTTCAGAGAAGGTGGCAGCAGAAGGGGCCCATGAAGGCCGCTAAGCACCCTGAGCTTTGGGTCTCAACTCAAAGAGCCAGCCCTGGGGGCCACAGCATGCCCACCCAGCTGATGTATATTTATCTTCACATATATATTCTTTAAATCAGGCAGAAGTTTGGAAACCATCGCCTCTGGAGGAGGTCTACGCCAGGTTGGGTGCTGAGGGGGATCTTGGTTGAGGCTGACTCTCCTGTCTCCCACACTTTCAGGACCTTCTCAATGATCTGTTTGCCTTCATTTTCCTTGTGGGGGCCGTGATCATAGCTGTGAAAAGCCGACAAACCATGCCCATGCACTACTTCATTGCTGTGGTGAGTCTTTCATGTTGGGTACTTTATTTGCTCAGAAATCACCTCTTCTGGAGAATGAGTGTTTTCCTCTGACTTAAGGAGAGGACTTCTTTTCTTTTTCCAAAATCTCGGGACCCATGCAGAGTTTAAAAGTGAAGTTGGTAAATGTTTCCAATGAAGAAGCCACTTAAAGATGCTGTCCAGGGAGCCAGCCGAGGTCAGGGCTCCCTCTTCCTAGCTGTCCTGATCTCTGAGGCAAAGGGCCACACCCAAGCTGGGGATTGGGAAGCTGAGGTGAAGGGAGGGGCAAACTTAGAATGTCTCTGGTCTGGAAGTTTGTGGGGAGCAAGGGATGTGATAACCAGCACCTGCTGATGAATACGAAACAGAGGGACTATGCCAGCTTTGGAATGAAAAGCAAAAGTAACCAGCATCCTTTTGTCTTCCAGATCCTTATTGGTGTGGCTGGACTTTTCGCTTTAATCGATATATGTCTTCAAAGAAAACATTTCAAAGGCAAGAGAATCAAAAGGAATGTGCTGACTCCTCCTCCTCCAGGAAAGGACCAAAAGGCTGAAAAGCCAAAGGAAGGAGAAAAACCACCAGAAAAGGCAGCAGAAAAAGCACCAGAAAAAGCAGAAAAGCCCAAGGATAAAGAAAAGGGAGGCAAGAAATGATGGGAAGGAGACCCCTGCTGTCAGAACCAGCAATGTGTTTTACCACAAAACTTATGTCCACTATGTGTCTTGTCTTCTCTCTAGAATGGTTTTCTTTTCCATCCTAATAACCACCTTTGCTTGGAAAAGAAATTCTTCTTTAAATGGATTTTTAAAGCCTAAAGTTGACGTAAACATTATTTTGTTCATTCAACAAAAGTTCCCAAGAGTTTTGATGCAGAGGGCAAGACCGGAGCTGGGCCTCTCAGGCCGCCTGCAGGCCACAGGGCACACAAGGTGTGGGGGACCGGAGGTGTGGGTGACAGCGGCTGTCAACAGTGACCAGCCAAAAGGGCCAGAGGAAAACATGAGACTGGAAAACAAAATGAACATTTTGTTCATATTGATATTTTTATTTTCCATTTTTTGAGAACACCCAGGTAGTCGCTATGAGAAAAATAGGCTGTTGGCCTTCCTTACTCTTTGCACTTTAGCATGGGTGCTCATTTGAGGTCCATTCGGGAGGAGGGCAAAGAGGCGGTATCATCCCCTCAGGGCTCAGGGCCTCCTAGAGTGGGAGTCAGGCGGCATGGGCACAGGAAGGCCTGAGGGAGCCAGGCCTCTGGGACCTGCGGTATCTCCCCCAGTAAGGACCTGAACATAAGCCCTGAGTCAGGCTCAACTGGGCGTTGGAGCCACAGTTCCCACACGCAGGCCTCAGTGAAGGCCCCAGGCTCACTGAACAGACCAGCCATGTGGCCGAAGAAGGGTCATACTCATGAGAGGAAAGAAAACAAGGTCCCAAACTGATGCATGAGGAGCTAGAGGAGACAGGTGTAGGGCAGGAGATGAGAAGTAACAAGGCACCCCCCAGCCCAGCCAGGAACGAGGTGAGGAACAGGCTGAAAGGCTCAACTGGGCCTTGGGAGCCACGGTCCTGACTCGGGCCTTTGCCCTGAGCTCCACAGGGCATCCCTGAAGTGGCAGGGTCTACTCCTCCAGGAGATCACATACTCGGCTGCTGCAGAGCAGAAAGTGAGCCTGGGAAGAGGATGCAGCATGGCGTTTGGGGTGTGGGGAGCAGGCAAAGCATGAGCTTGGATGGCCCCCACCCCTCTAGTCATACTCCCTCTGTAGCCCCCACAGTACCCCCTGTGGGCTGGGCAGGATGAGTCACAATGTGGGGGCAACTAGAGGGAAGTACCTTGTAGAGAAAAACTCAAAAGTGCACCCTGTCCTGCCGTGTGACCTGAAAGTCCTCTCCTAGGTACGAAGCCAAGAGGAATGGTGGACTAGAATGTTCATCATAGCCAAAAGGCAAAAAAGAGCCTAAATGTTCAAAAGGAGGTAAACTGTGCTACTACATTCACAAAATGGAATACAACTCAGCAATAAGAACATGAATATTGAAACAGCATGATGATGAATAATGATAAAAATAAAAGATTCATAATGACGACTCTCATTATATTGAGTGAAAGAAGGCAGACACAAAAGAAGGACATGCCCTATGATTCTATTTCTATGAAGTTCAAGAACAGGGAAAAATACAGTGAAAGAAATGGACACACTGGTTGCCTAAAGAGGTAGAGCTTGAGGACCGATTACAAAGGGGCCTAAGGGTATGAGAAAGTTGATTATTTTCACTAGGGGAAGTGGTCACACAGGTGTATACATTTGTCAAAGCAACTGTATACATCTGTCTATTTCATCATATGGTAAATTTTATTTAAAAATGTAAGCTAAACAGGACTGTGTTCAGAATCTAATGGAAAAGGGTAGAACTTGCTGAACTCCTTTGTGTGGCCATTCCTCTCAATCCCTGGAAGCGGCTCTCCGGGCAGGCAGAGGTTCTCCACATCCAGACAGAGAAGGGTGCCATGGGACTGGGCTGGGTATGGAGTGCAACTTGATGCAGCCACCTGTCCTGATGAGAAGGGGATCCTGGGACAGGGCTGTAGTCACCAGAGATTTCAGGAGGATGCTTCTTTGGAGCAAAACTATATCAGGTGAGTATATGCTAGTAGAGAATGCATCCCCTATGGATCTGGTCAAAATGCAGATCCTGAAAAATCCTAACTAGCACATTCAGAGTAAAGATGGATACTGTGTGCTTAAAAACTGTAAAGAAGACAATAACTTAACAACAGTTCTTAGTGGGGGAGGAGGAGGAGGGATTATGAGAAATTTTAAAATTTAACAGAAGGGACAGTGATATGGAAAAGTCCACATTGCTTGGTAAAATACACCAATTTGAAAGATAAAGAGGAAATCCTAAAAGCTTTCAGAACAAGAGAAACAGCACAAAGATATTATAGACATGAGAACAAAACCAAACATCAAAGGCCACCTGGATATTAGAAGACAAGGAAGGGGTACTTGGGTGGCATGGTTGAGTGGCCTACTCTTGGTTCAGCTTACATCGTGATCTCAGGGTTGTGAGATTGAGCCCCATGTTGGGCTCTGCACTGACTCTCCTTCTGCTCCCCTCACTTTTAAGACATCTTTTTTTAAAAGGTTGGGGGGATGCACCTGGGTGGCACAGTCAGTTAAGCAACCAACCCTTGGTTTGGGCTCAGGTCATGATCTCAGGGTCATGAGATCGAGTCCCACATTGGGCTCTACACTGGGCATGAAGCCTACTTTAAAAACATTAGAAATTTTTTTAAATTTAAAATTAAGGTTAAACGAGATCATATGGGTGGGACCCTCACCCAATAGGGTTAGTGTCTTTATAAGACATCAGACAGCAGCTCATTTACATTCTCTCTATACAAGTGCACAGAGGAAAGGTCATATAAAGACACAAAGTGACCTTTGACAAGCTAAGAAGAGAGCTCTCACCAGAAACCAAATGTACTGGTACCTCTAAAACTGCCAGCCTAGGGAACTGTGAGAAAATAAATTCTGGTTGTTCAGGCCACCCAGTCTGTGGTGTTTTGTTATGGCAGCCCAAGGTGACTAACACACTAGCCCAAGAAACAAGAAACAGAGCCCTTGTAGATGAGGAAGAATGGGATAATTCCCTGGGGTTTTGTTTTTTACCATTTTTACCATTCTTTTCTACCCCAGCCTCCAGACAACACCACAGCATCCAATGGCAGTGATAGAAGCAGCCAAACAAGCAGAAATTCAAACTCCAAGATATAGAAAGCTTCTTCTCTGACCAGAAGAACCATGGTCCCAAGAGTATGGAGAAAATCCCTTGATCTCTTCTCTCTGTATCCAAAGCAGTGGCAGGAAATATGAAATAGAGTACAGAGGGGCACCTGGGTGGCTCAGTCATTTAAGCCTCTGCCCTCAGCTCAGGTCATAATCTCAGGGTCCTGGGATTGAACCCTGCATTGGGCTCCCTGCTCAGTGGGAAGTCTACTTCTCTCTCTCCCTCTGATCCTCCTCCCCACTTGTACTCTCCCTCTTTCTCAACTAAATAAAACCTTTAAAAGAAAAAGAGAAACTAAACAAGCTTTATATAGGACCCCTCAGAACTTAAAAGTGTCAAGGAAACCATGAAAAGGAAAGATCTCAAGAGAAAGATCCCATCGAGCTGTAGATGAACTCCTGGGACACCCCCCAAGCAGTGGATGCATGGATCTGACCCCAGGGAATGCCCATGACCCAGGTCTCAGATTGAACACTTGGGCACACACAGAACAGATCAGAATAGCGCTACAACAACGATGGATATCTGGACAGGACGTCAGTAAGGATATAGAGGATTTGAACAACACTATAAACCATCTACTCCTAACAGATGTATGTTGAACATTACACTCAACAACAGCAGAATACATGTTCTTCCCAAGTGCATATGAAACAGTCTGTAAGACCAGACATTAGGACACAAACCAAGAAACCAAGTTTCAAATTTAATAACGCTGAAATCATACACAGTATCTGCTTTCATCACAATGGAATGAAGCTAAAAATGAATAGCAGAAGGAAATCTGGAAAACTGACAAATATGTGGAAAACAAGCAATGGGTCAAAGAAGAAATCAGAAAAAGAAATTAGAAAATACGGTGAATGAAACTAAAACACAGGGATCCCTGGGTGGCGCAGTGGTTTGGCGCCTGCCTTTGGCCCAGGGCGCGATCCTGGAGATCCGGGATCGAATCCCACGTCGGGCTCCGGTGCATGGAGCCTGCTTCTCCCTCTGCCTGTGTCTCTGCCTCTCTCTCTCTCTCACTGTGTGCCTATCATAAATAAATAAAAATTTAAAAAAATATTTTAAAAAAAGAAACTAAAACACAACACACTAAAACTTAGGATATGCAGCAAAGAGCAGTGCTCAGAAATGTACAGCTGTAAATGCCTATCTTCAAAAGAAAGAAAGATTTCAAACCAATAACCTAACTTTACACCTTGAGGAACCAGTAAAAGACCAAACTAAACCCAAATCTAGGAGAAGAAAGGAAACAACAGAGATTAGAGCAGAAAAATAATAATCAACAAATTCAAAAGTTAGTTCTTTGAAAATATCAACAAGATGAATAGTCCTTTGGGACTAAAGTCAGAACTGAAAGAACATAACTACTGATGATAGAGAAATTAAAAAGAATTACAAGATAACTCTATAATAGTTGTATGCCGAAAAATTAGATGAAATGGACATACACACTAGAAACACACAAATTACCTAAACTGACTCAAGAAGAAATAGAAAATCTCAAAAGATCAAAATAGTAACCAAAACCTCCCAACAAATAAAAGTCCAGTACTAGATAGCTTCACTGGTGAATTCCACCAAACTTTTAAAAAAGAACTAATACCAACCCTTCTCAGACTCTTCCAAAAAAGAGAAGACAAAGGAACACTTCCTAACTCATTTTATGGGGCCAGCATTACCCTGATACCAAAGCTAGATAAAGATATCACAAAAAGGAAAACTATATACCAGTATTTGTTTTGACTATAGATGTAAAAATCCTCAACAAAATATTAGCAAACCAACTCTAACAGCATATCAAAATTATTATACGCCATGACCAAGTGGGATTTATCCCAGATAGCACTGCAAAGTTTTTCAAGACTGAACTGACATTGGAGCCACAGTTCAATGGTGGGTAGGATATTGTGATCTAAATCTAACCAGTTGATTGCCTGCTTAAAAACAACAAAACCAGGGCTCTCTATAGGAATTAAACAAATCCAGAATTCATAGTATAATATTAAAAATGTCCAAGATATGGGATCCCTGGGTGGCGCAGCGGTTTGGCGCCTGCCTTTGGCCCAGGGTACGATCCTG